CATCAGGCACTGTGGGGCGAGGCAGTGAGTCTTTTAATCCCATCTGAGGTGATTTGACCCTTGGGAGCCCCACAGCTCCTGCTCACCTCCACGGTTTGCTTGGCAGGGTGGTTCTCCAGGGAGAGCAGCTCAGCCGTGTCCTGGAGGGAACGGAAGATGTCCTGCTTCTCTTCCAGCTCTGCTGTCAGCTCCTGCAGGAGGGAAAGCCTTCAAATCTCAGCTCTGGGACACCAGTCAGACCCTGTGTCCAACTAACACAGCGTGGAAGTTCTAAAGGAGGTACCAGTGGATGCCAGGGAATCCAGCATGGCACCACAGCCCCGCTCCCAACAGGAATCTGCCTCCAGTGTGCCAAACAAGCACTGGAAACCTGCCCGGGGACCTCTTCAGCTTCACGCAGTGATTGTGGAAAGATGGGAATTTGTTTACACTGCTGTAAAGAGGAATCAATTTTCCTCTTTGGCTCAGACTCACCCCCCTCGCCCCCGCTAGTTCAAGACGCCTTGAGCTCTAAAATAATGCTAAAAATACATCTTTTGATGCCTTTTTGATTGCAATTCAATTGAACACACACATTCATTTCACTTCCTGCTCTGGGGAGAGCTTCCATCAGCTCTGTTCAGGCACAACAAGCTCGGGGAGCTGGGAGGGAGCATCCAGCCTCAGGATTTTGGGTCTGTCGGGAGCTGAGGGCTCCACAGAGGACCAAAAGCAGGACCTGCCCTCCCAGCACTCACCGAGAAGTAATTCTTCTTGGCTGCAATGTTGGGGTTGTTGTCACTCCAGTCGTAGGCCAGTTCCTCCTCCTCCTTCTCATTCAGCCAGATCAGCTCAGCAGTGGCCCTGGACACGAATCCGTGCAGGCTCTGCAGGTGCCTCAGCCTGAAGCTCGAGGTTTCCTGGACACAAGAATGGGTTATTATTCCTCCTGATGTTTTTTCCCCCTCTCCCTACCCTAGGAGCAGGGAGGGCCCCCAGGCTCACCATCAGTTTGCAGTACTGAGTCTCCAGCTTGCCCAGTGTCTCTGTGTAACTGGCGCGGAAATTCGGAGACATTTTGCCCTGAAGGATGAGAAATGTTCTTGTTACCCATCACAGGACAGCATCATCCAGAACCCCATCCCCAAATCTTCCTCCACAGCTCTGCCTGAGGAAGGGGAGGGTGGAGAGGATGGCTCAGTGCATCAACCCAGAAGCTCCATCCTTAAAAATCTTCTTTGTCCCAGGAATGTGACCCACAAGGGCTGATCCCAAAGCCCTCATTTCCCATGCCTGGTGTCCCCCACCATACCTCATACATCCTGGCCTCCTTCACGCTGGATCCCAGGTCCTCCACGCTGGCATGGATGTGCCTCTGGGTCTCCAGCTGGGATTCCACACTGGGCAGGTCAGTGCCCCACTCCGCCCGCTCCAGCCTCATCTGAAACCAAGAGGGTCAGGTCAGCACTGCTCATTCTGCTCTCAAAGGGACACCAGGAATCCTCCCAGAGGGAAGAAACACCTCCCAGTCTTGGTGGAAGATCACCAGGATCCTCCCAGGTCACCCCAGAGGGAGCAAACACCTCCCAGTGCTGGTAAAAGATCCTAAGCCAGTGCTCCAACTCTGAATATTTCTGGGACATCCTACCCAAGCTTCCCACCCACGTAAGACCAAGTGAGTGCATCAGCACAGATCTGCTTCCAGCTTTGAAAGGTGACCAGAGACCAGCAGGACCCCAAGAGAGAAAACCCAGATCCAGCTCTGAAAGG